CTATAAAATAAGCAAAAAAGAAACAAATAAATCAATAAGCACTAGAAATAAACAAATTAAAGTAAATCAAATGCAGGATGTGTGGGTAACATAATAGATAGTGGCCCATAGACAGAAATCAGTGAGCCAAGTTCCAATTCCGGTTGGGATCATTATATACACTTATGTGCAAATACCCTTGAGGAAGTAATGAATGCATCTCTTCTTTCCTCAGTCATGAATTAAATAGTAGGGTAGACAGAACTCTCTAGACATGGTTGACAATTAGTCTAAGAGAAGAATGACTTTGAATTTAAAATCATACATGTCACTGACATAGCATTAGAGATATCTATTATGTTTTGACCAATCAAAAACAACTCACTAAATGAGAGCTGTACAAGGATAGATTATACAACTACTGCATTTTGCATTGCAAATAAAATTCTTAAAATTCTTTTTAAAAATCCAAGGTCTCAGATTGTTAGTATATCCAAGGATTGGCATAAACAGCTTTTTAAACTAATTGCATTGTGGCTATTGACATATTTTTATAATTATTTTTCTCTGATTTTGATTTATGTTTTTACTTTCTTTTTTGGTGAGTATGATTTTGTTCGCAAAAAAAATCAGTTCTAAAATGATCCGCTGAGATTGATATCTTCATTTTTTATTCCTTTTTTACCATTCAGCATTCCTTGGACATTTCTTACATTCAATAACCTTCAATGTATCTTGAATGAAACTCTTTATTTTATCCAGGAGTATATTAACATTTCTGCCCTTCAATATTACCATTTTCTTTCCTTTCATTGTTCGACACAGTGATTAAATTAACAACTTCACAAAAAACAACACGAAGACTGTTATTTACACTACTCAGATTGTTGGCCTCATCTTTATTGTCATATTCACAATGTTTTGGGCATTGTATGCTCTGACCTTCTTCAACCCCAAGGACACATGGCCCAGTGGATAAAAGCATTGGTTAAAGTAATTCAGAGACTTGTGAGTTCAATACCTGGGATCAAAAACATAGAGAACTGAGTTACTAAAGGGAGATAACTGAAACCAAGCTATCTAAAAGGCTTGGTACATGAAACTAAAACAATGTATCCTGGTAGACAAAATAAAGGCTTCAGTTTGAAATTCCAACATATATCACCTGAAGAAGGTAAGAGCATACAACAGCCGAAACGTTGTGAATATGACAATAAAGATGAGGATAACAGTCCAAACAATGTAATTAGTTACAATACCACATCTCAGAAATATAGAAAGACAAAGACTATTCTTCAAGAAGCCATGTCTTTGACACAAAACTAAAAAAAAAAAAAACAATTTAATGTAATAATGACTTCATTAATTTTACAATTTGCCATTTTATCAACAGATTCATTATTGCTTCCTGACATGCTTTACTGACATTTAAAATGTTTTCTTTTTGATAGACACATCTCAAATGTTAATTTTCCCACATCTGAGAACTGATACTTCAACAATAGCTTGGAATTGTCTGGGTTACTTTTTATATACTCAAGTTCATCCAATAAAGTGCTTGATAGTGTGTAGTGGGTGGGTACAAAATAGTAATAACTCCCTTTATCCACTCCCTTCAAATTTAGGCAAGTTGAGAAAAAAGACAGAAAGAAATTTTTTACATCTATGTGAAATTTTCTTTGGACTAATGAAAACCTTGTTTTCACAGGAATTAGTTGTTGAGACTCAAAAAAAAAAAAAAAAAAAAAGGAAATAGCAAGTCTATCCAAATTCCTTTTTGATATAAAATAAAGGAAAAAATTAAATTAATAAGAGTGTTTAAAGTCATGTGAAAAATTTCATTTCTGTTCATGCCTTCAGATTTTTGCTAATTATATTACTGGCCTTAACCAAGCATTTGGCAATTCAAAGAATTTTTTTCCAACAATCCAAGAAAGCTAAGTATTTCAAACTATCTCTCTTCATTGACTTTTGAATGTATGCAATTGTATATTCCTTCTGTGAACAACAAAATCTCTTACTATTATTTTAAATGTTTTTTAATATTATTTTTTGTCAGACATCATTTAATCTGATCCTCTTTGGGATAATTCATTGAAATTACAGACTTTAAATATTTCTGATTTATTTTCCTGAAATAAGTTACTGACACAAAATCAAGCATGTAAATTTGTGAATACATTCCTGTGGCGGACATGAGACAGAACCTGGGACAAGCACAACTGGTCGCGACTTGCCTTGTCCCCCGCCAAAAAGCCCGTATTTGCTTAGCATGTAAAGCTACTGCAGTTGAAATGAGGGAGAAAAAAAAAGCACTTACCGCTCTGACATAATCCATCCTCGGCCAGATAATGTAAAAGAAATGAGGGGGACTGGCATCGCATTTTATCCAATAACGATGCAATGCATTATGGGACATGGACGCAATGCATTATGGGACATGGACGCAATGAATTATGGGATCACAGGAAGACGCAAGGGATTATGGGTACATGAACAACTATAAAAACAACTACTTTTTTCCAAGTCGGCGAGTTCTTCGAGGGACGTTCACGGTTGACGGCTAGAACGGGCAGTTAGTGTGATTTGGAGACAGAACTCAGGAAGGAACGACTCAAGTTTGAAATACCAGTTGGGAGAGCTTGAATTAACTCGCTGGTTACTGTTTTCTTCATTCGCCTCATTTATCTTTGTTAAAATTACCTGCATGTTTCCTGATCACTATCTGCCTCTATTAACCTTCTTGGCATGGATAAATCAATTGTTCGTTTTAACACTGAAGTCCCATGCCACTATAAGTGACTCAAGGTACTGGGTTACTGTTAACTCTGTCAGCCCTGAAAAGATTTCTATTGTCAAATCCCTGGAGTCCTAACTGAATTGTTGAAAAATCTGAATATGTGATGTTATTGCAATTAAATTGATTCAATGCAAAATCCACTGAAAATCAAGTATTAAAAGTTGATTTTGTATTAAAGTAAATTGATTTCTCTTTCAAATGATACGAAACTTCTTGGTTATGAGATATGGTTTTGGAAATCTACAATTTTGTAAAATTTGTAGATTTCTAAAAAGTTATACTCTTTTTTTATAAATATTAAAGTTTCTTTAATACATTGCTCAGAGTAATGGGTTATTCTTAGGATTCAGGGATTTTATTTAAATCCATGAAGACATGACTGAATTGTTGAAAAAAATCTGAATATATACCCTTGTATAAATCAATTGAAATAAAACAAATAATTCCATTCTTATTTACTTATTTGGGTATTTTTCCAATGAAACATGACCCAGTGCACATGTTAGTACTTCGTATGCCCATTCTACAAAGTTTTTTCCCTACAGATTGACTATATATTCTCGATTGGATTTAAATCAGGAAAGTTTCCAGGCCAGTCTATAGTACTTTTATTGGGATTTTCCCAATTATATTGGTAACAAAAATATTGTGATGCCGGCAAGAAGAAAGAAACACAAACACAGTTGAAAAATGTATGAAAAAACATGTATTTGTAGGAAAACAGAAGTAAAGTTTCAAATTGCAAACAGTCAGTTTGCGGGACTTATCTGCAAGATGCGTCCTTATAACAGTTTTATCTTTCCTGTTTGGCTGGGTTGAAGAAAAAAAAGAGTCCTGTCTCCTGTGCTTCAGTTGCTGTCTAAATCCTCACACGTGTCCTGATGTTTAGATGACGGAGTGTAGATGGGGAACGAGTTGTCTCTGAGGTTCCCAACAAGCAAAAGAGGAAGAGCGTTTGTAAAAAACACTCACATGGGGGTTTGGCGAAAGTCTAAAAAGGTAGCCTGTGATTGGTTGTTTTTCATCCAATCACAGGGCACCCAGTTAGTGACCCCATAATAATTTCAATACTTTGATTTGCTCACTGGTAAGGCTTGCCAGTGTGTTTGTGCAGCAATAAAATTTTCATACTCTTCTTTGGAGTAACATCCATTGCAGACAATGACCATAGGACAACTTATTGACAATCAAGACAATTGTGTCTGGGCATTATGAAAACCTGATGCAATTACAGATAATGCAATATTTTTCAAGGCCAAACAAATATCATCATACATCCCAAAAATAGATTCATATTACTTCACACCACTGCAAATGACCTAATCTGAGGAAAAAATAAAAATTGATTGCACCCTGTTACACCAGTGATCTAAAACTGACTGTATATTAAAAGAAAGGAAACTAAAGCAGTTGTTTCAATTAATTTGTACAAAAGTGTATGTTAGTTCAATTAAATTGATACATTTGAAAACCCATTGAAAATCAAGTCTTACAACTTGATTTTATTTGAAAGTAAATTTATTTCTCTTTCAAATGATGCCAAATTTAGATTCATTGGTTTTACTGGCTATGAGATATTAGTATTGTTTATAAGCCAGCCATAATTTACTGGCTATTTAGTGCTAGGAAGAATGATGGTTTCCTCTACACTAAGTACTAATATTAGCATTAGTGTAGCCATTGATATACTAACACTGAATGTGAGCATGGAAAGACGAGATAAACAAAATATTTAATAAGACAAATACAACATAAATACACATGTTAAAGTGATTTACACATGTCCCAAAACAAATGATTATAACACAGTTCAAATGACATGAATGTTTCACAAAAACGAACTAAGAAATAAGTATACCAGCCTTATATTCTTTGACAGTCCTCAGCAATGTAAATAAAAACGACTTTTCACTCTATGTTAGGTTGTGTATAGGTTGTCCATTTTCCATGTGTGTGTATGCTCCAGTGGTTAGAAATGGATTAACCATTCCCCAAATGGAAACGAAATAGGGAAGAAGAATTCTCTTCTCTAAAGGGGCTGGACTCCCAATGCATTCAACACAAGGGAAAATAACTGTTGTCCCCCTACAGAAATATATTATGGAAAATATACAAGTTTGTTAAAGTTGTAGATTTCAAAAGAGTTATATATTGCACTATCATCTGATTATGCGATAGGTGTTAATGCTATGAACTGAAATGCAGGTGCATTCAGGTGCTC